TTGATCAAGCCAGAGCAAGTACTTCCCCCCCACCCCCCTCCTCCCCCAGCTTACAGTATCTAATTTTAAAAATACTGCAATATGGGGGAACGCACGGTTGGAGGCAGTAGCAAAGGAGAGAAATATGTGATTGCGGACCTAAGCTGTATGTCTTGAGAAATACTTTTGAATCACATTTTGATGATAGAATAGTATTATTTTCCTATTATAGATACCTGATTCTATGCAGCTTTTTCTAAAGAATGCCACTTGCTTCTTTGACGACGTCTTCTCAAGGAGAGAGACTTTGATTTTTAAGTAGTTCACGCAGAGTTCTACTTCAAATACTGCTAATAGGGTTTTTTTAATTGTTGTCATTCTAGTTGATTGTGGGTTTTATTTGAGGTTGGTCAGATTTGTGAATCTCTCGCAGTAGTTTGTGACCTCCTTTTCCATACTCAGGGGAAGCATCTTCCTGGAGAGAGAGGAATAACAAACTCAAAAGTTGCAGAAGACAGAAATTGTACTGTTTTTGAGGAAGTTTGTACTTCTGCAATTCCTGAAGCTTCTTGAAATTCCATACAGCTCTTTTATGAGGAATTCTATAAGGAATTTTTGAGTCATCTCTTTTTGATAGTAAATTTATGGATGCTGAGCCCTCCGTAGAAGCTTGCCCAAACGTGCATCTTCAGAATGGTGAACGGACTGAGTTTAGTAGAACTCTTCTGTTGCATTGTTGTTCTTAGCACTTTTCTAAATTCATAATGTTTTGCATAAGCTGACATAGAAACCTAAATAATTAATAACTCTGAGTTTTTTAATCAAATCCTTGGGTTTTAACATACCTGAATTTTAAATTAGATTACCCCAAAATGAGGCCGTTCTAAGCCCTTAAACTGTCTTCGTATGTTTTTTTCTTCTCTGTTAAATAGCTCCCTGTGGTTTTTTTATTTTTAGGTTTACTGCACCGAGCTTTCAGTGTTTTCTTATTTAATACAGAAAATAAACTGTTGCTGCAGCAGAGGTCAAATGCAAAAATTACATTTCCAGGTTAGTACTGAAACACATTGTATTTATCAAGATGTTTTATTTAAATCAATGTTTAAAAAAATATGCCCATCTAATCTTGCAGTGTATTTCATTCTGAGGTTTTAGAATTTACTGCTTTGGAGAGGAGATACTTCTAAATACTTTTGAGAGTTCAAGATGTACTTATCTCATGGAGGAAGTAAGATAATAGGAACGCTAGCTTATTGTTATACACACTCTTGGGAAATGATTGTTCCCTGACATGTTTGATCCTGTTTATGCAAGTGCAGCGTGTGTTGTTTACCTCCTCTGCTGCAAGACATATTTAGTGGAGTTGAAGAAATTGCTCCGGTAGCTGTGGAGAGTGTTCGATTCCACTGGTAAAGACACGTAGCTGACGTATAGCAGAGCCCTACTGCTTGGGAAGCAGTTGCGTTGTGCTTCAGTGAGATCTGTGGACCTTTATCTGTGCATGTTTTAACAAACACTTTTTTAACTATAGAAGAAGCGAGGCACTGTGGCCAAAGTATATAGTGCATCATTTTTGAAGACTTCTGAACTATTACTATCGAATGCAAATGGAGAGGCATAAAAATAAGAGGTGGAATGAAAGAAAAATAGCTTACGTGAGACACGTTGGACGAAGCATAAAGCTGTCTGTTTCGAATTTCGGATGGAAAACAAATTCAAGTGTTTCTAACTCTCTTCAACTCAAGGAAGAAAGACCTTTTTTTCCTTCCAAGGGAATCTTTACTTTAGAGGCTTTTTTTTTTTCCTTGACTACTAACTAATCAAAATGCTCGAGTGTAGTTTGTAGGTAATCGGACTCTATTTTAGATGCTTTTGAGCTAGACTTACAGATAAAAGGTTGGCCAATCACAGTTATTCTACATAATTCATAAGTAATCTTTAATATACTTGAAGCAGGGTATAGAGGAGCTGTCCTTTAAACACAAACCTTAGCTGCTTATTTACTTCTACTAATTGTCAGCTGGTCTTGAAGCTCTGGGAATATTTTCAATATTCTGTTGCATATATACTTCCCAAAGTAATTTTAATTAGCGTTTGCAGGGCAATGAATGTCTTTATAAACTGGCTGTCTCAGTAGATGCTATCTTGGGTATGAGAATGCATGTGTTCATGTGTATCAAACACTAACCTGCAAAGTAGTACGTGGTAGAGGCAAATCCTGGTGCGAAATACGTAAAGAAAAATAAGAGGTGAAAATATCCTCCTTCCTCTCTGACCCTTCTCTACAAAAGAGAAACAAAGCTGTGACGCATTGAATACCTGTCCTACACCTCTGGGTTTTTTGGTTGGGTTTTTTTATTTGTTTGGTTTTGGGGGGGTTTTTTTGCAATGCTTTATACACGTCAAAAATGTACTGATACAAACTTCTTGCAGATTGTTTTACCAACACTTGTTGTAGTCATCCTCTGAGCCATCCACTAGAACTGGAAGAAAATGCTGCCATGGGTGTTCGGAGAGCAGCACAGAGACGACTGAAAGCAGAGTTAGGAATTCCCATGGAGCAGGTAAAGGGAGGAAGGAGAAACGGGAATTCTTGCCGATGCTTGTCGATTTACAGACTAACTGCATCTGGCAGACAGGGTCAGCCTGAAACCTAAAAATGAATTTAACTTTGGAGATGTACAGAACTTAGTGAATTTGAGACTTCTTCATCTATATTCCTGAGTCTCAAAAGCTGATATCGCTAAGCGGTATTTCAGAGTATTCCACTGCTTAAACTAAATATGAGCCAAAGACTAAATTGCACAGTAACGAAGGATTGCGCTGCTTCAGGTCTGACTGTGGGTGCCTACGTGTTTTCCAGCTGGGCAGGCTGTCCTCCTTGCCCAGGGGAAGGCAACGTGCCATCCTTCCTCCAGGCCGATGGCAGAGTGCTGTACGCATTCTGTACGGCTGGTGCTCCTGGAGGGCATCGCTGTGAGCTGCTGCCAGCATCCATGTACAAGTCCCTCTGCAATCCCAAGCTTCCTATGGGAAGTAGGGCAGCCTGAGCACTCGGTGTTTCTTCCAGAGCAATCACACAGCCTGCTTCTGGTACCTTCCGTTCTGGAGGCAGTTTGGGAGCGCACAGAGAGCAGGGTGAAGCTGGCTGAATTGCGCTCATGGTCGAAATCTCTTTCCACGTTTTGTAACTAATCACATTTGTGTCGTGGGACACGGGAGAAGCAGCGTGCTACTGAGAAACGCGATGGTTAGGTTGTCCCCAGAACTAATTACCTGGTCTGCAACTTGCACAGCTCCCTGGTAGGTCAGGGTTATACGTGGTCTGTCAGTACGCAGTTCTGACCTTGGCTTTAAGTAGCTGTCAGCTCTTCTCCTTGGGAGGGAAGGGGCAGGTGCAAGCGTTTGCATTCATCAGCACTTCAGTAAGTGTGTGTTAAGCTCTGGTAAACGTTACTTAAAACTTATTGTATAGAAGAAACCCACTCAAAATGTTATAGGGTGAGTCTGACTAGAGAAATGGTGTGCAACTCATGTCATCAAATAAAAACTTTTTCATAGTAATTCTTTGTGAAGAAATACATTGCAATTGTACACTTGGGGGAAAAATAATTTTTAAGGAAGAGGGTAATAGCTGCTAATTCCTCTGTAACACCTAGCAGTGCCAGTTCTGGTTTGGCACCGGTTCTGACAAGCGTTTTGGTTGTAGGTAACGCCAGAAGAAATCTCCTACCTGACGCGAATTCACTACAAGGCCAAGTCTGATGGGATCTGGGGTGAACATGAGATAGACTATATCTTATTTGTACAGAAGGACGTAACGCTGAGTCCCGACCCTAATGAGATCCAAAGCTACTGCTACGTGACACAGAAGGAACTGAAACAGCTCTTGGACAAAGCCTCCAAGGACGAAGTTAAGATTACTCCGTGGTTTAAACTAATTGCAGAGACCTTTCTTTTTAAGTGGTGGGATAACTTATCTAACTTGAACAAATTTGTTGATCATGAAAAAATACACAGAATGTAAATAGCTGGGGTAAAAGATGCTGAAGGCTAGCAGTGATGTGCTGTCTCATTAACACTATGGTAACTCGTGACTCTTGAGTGCAGAAAAGTGATCCACCTGGAGCATGTTTAACATATAACTTTATACAGGGGTGGTTATAGCCGATGTTTTTTCTTCTCTCTTCGCCTCCTCTTCCCCCCAGCCCTGTTCCTCTTGGGCGAGTTAAGCCTGATCTCATGTAAAATGGGTGAAACATAGGAAACCCCTGGGTTCATCTTCCTCCATTAATGAAAGATCCTCAGCCTGCGTGTGCCCAGTTTGCTCTTACTTCCTTGCGTTAACTACGGGGGCTGCAGGGGAGTGTGGGCGCCTCCTGTCCAGCTCATTGGGTAGAGCTGGCACATTCCCAACTGTATATGACTACGCCTTCCAAAATAGCGATTACAAAGGAATTTGAGTTCTACATGGACGTTGAGAAGACTAGTTGCCTGAAGGAAAAAAACAATTAGTTCAAAGTAGTCAGGCTGATTTTAATTGCAGAAAGCAAATCTCTTCAGCTACTGTACTCTATAATTAACCAAACACATAAAAGCTTAAGTGATCGGATTGTCTGTGTGGACTGAGTTTCACTTTGAAGTGCTGCACTATGTGTCGTAGCTTTAGATAATAAACATTGGGGGGGGTGGTTTGGTTTTTTCCCCCACCACCCTTTTCTGGTTACTTGATGACCTAGTACTGGACATCTCTTAAAAAAAAAAAAAAAAAAAAATTTAATTACACCCAAGGGAGGCGGGGCCCCACA